GATCGACCCTGCATTAACATATCAGTTAAAATATTTAGGATGTTAGATACAAAGCAAGCTTTTAATCACTCACAAGCTCTTTACTGAATATCTATAAGGCTCATAGAAAAGACGGGGGGTGGTGCAGCAGCCCATGGTGAGCCCTGCCTAATGGACACTGCTGGGAGGTGGGTATGGAGCACTGACTGCCCCCAGCCACTTCTCATTCAAAGTAAAAACTTCAATTAGTGGGAGAAAACTCTCCTGCCCATAGGGTGTAGCCAAAGAGCTAGTCTCTCTAGTATAAAAGTATAAATAAAAGACTTCTGTCCTCAGGAAAGGACATGGAAAAGTCAGGCAAACTGCTGCAGACCAAGGACATCTTAAAATCAGATTAAGGAAAAAGAAACATGTAGAAGAAGCAAAGATGAGAATTACATTATGATCACAGTAGGTGGACATTGCTGGAGCTCTTGGAATAGGAGCTGGAATTTCGTCGCTAGCAGATTGGTGTGACCAATTTTTTTTTATTATTATAAATGACTGCCTAAGACTCAAGGAATGGACGTTTATCTGTCAGAAGTTTCCAGGTAACTTGCAAGGGATGTGATTTAATTCTGAAGGACATATAATTCAATTATGCCTCACCACTATAAAGAGCCTAAGAGACCAGTCCTAGAAAAGAGAGATAATTGGAACTGGTTTTTCTCTTGCTCCTAACAGACCATTAGGAATAATTTCACCATGCCCTATGCCTCTCCTTAGGTTGTCATAACAAGAAGCCCAAGGTGTGCTTGATGCAGAGACTCTCAGTGAGTTCTCTCCTTTACTTGATCCGACCCAGTCTCTCAACTGGCCCTTATTACCCAAGCCCTTCTGGATCACAAACTCTAATTAGAAAAATCCTGTGCATGGTAAACCTTTTTGAAAGTTCCCCTCACTATCTTGTAATAAATAAAACCTGAAGACATTTATTCCTCTATTGCCCTGTGGGGAATAGGTGAGGTTTTCCCCTCTTATAAATGGTATAATACCCCCTCAGCATAAAGGCCAGTTGATCATCCTTGTCCCACATCACTGTCCCCAGAGAAGTCTCTCACTTCTCCTGGAAGCTTTCTACACCTTGGGAGAAAAGTCTATCAGGGCTGTCTCCTATTTCATTTCCTCTGCTTGCTAATTTCCTCTCTTCACCGCTCCTCACTGAAGCCACCCTGGGACAACGTTACTCTATCTGCCTTTTGCTTTTCTCTTAAAACAAATCCATCAAAAACTCTGGCCTTCAAATATGTGGACATCCAAAATCCAACTTCTTCTCCACTACCAGCCTTGTCTAAACCACCTCCACCTATCTCATCCTGAAAAACAAAATACCCCCCTTCTTGTTAACCATGAATCACTCTTTTTGTACTGTCTTTTTGTCAAAGAAACCAGAACAAGTCTTTTGAAATTTAAACAACACATCATGTGAATGGTTCTCGTTACCACTCAGGCTAAGGCATCAGAGCCTTACCACGGTCCATAAGCCCACTTTGATCCCATTCCCACGTGCTGCTCAGAACTCATCCACTGTTGGCCATGCTGGCCAGGCTGTCCTTCAAATACACCAAGCACTTCTGCCTCAGAACCTTCACATTTGCTATTTTCTGCCTCTGAATAATTTCCCTTCCACCTTCATCTACTCTCTACTCCCATGCTGGCTGGTCAGTGGCCTCCACTGGCCATGTTATCTAGAATAGTACACCTGCCCTCCCACTGTATCCACCTGACTCGCTTCATAGAACCTGCAATTCATGATGTTTCTCTTTGTTAATATTTATGTACTTCCAATAGTTGGTGAGCACTTATTTTTAATAAATTTCTTATTTTACAACAGTGTAAAGTCTCCAGAAAAATTGTAAAGCTAGTACAGAGAGTTCTCATATATATACCCCGCACCCAGTTTCCCATTTTATTGACATCATACCTTGGTATGATATATTTTTAAAATTAACAAACCAGTATTGATATGTTGTCATTAACTCAAACCCTCATTTTACTCAGATTTCCTTAGCTTTAAGCTAAAGTTCTTTCTCTGTATCAGGATCCATCAAAAACACTCCATTATTCAAGACATTATGTCTACTATAGGCACTCCTGTTAGGGGAGAATGTCTAACTTTTCTTGGTTTTTATAACCTTGATGGTTCGGAGGAGTACTGGTCAGGTATTTGGTGGAATGTCCCTCAACTGGGGTCTGTATGATGTTTTTCTCATTTTTATGTTAGGGTTATGAGTTTAAGGGAGGAAGACCACAAAGGTAGAGAGATATTTCCATCATACCTGTTACATAAAGGAAGCATACTATCAATATGACTTACCTGTGTTGATGTAAACCTTGGCGTCTTGGCTGGTGTCATTGTTTATTTTTATTTCTGAGTTTGTTCATTGTCTGTTTCTCCCTTCTACATGTCCCCTACCCTCTCCCCCACACTGGAGAATAAGGTCTAAGAGGGAAGGCTCTTTGTTTTGTTCACACTTACAGCTCTGACACATAGAATAGTGCCCACCACAGTAAACACGAGGTGCTCATAGTTGAATAAATAATTGGAAAAAACAGAATTGTGAGTTTTACAAAATGGAACGTATAGATAAATCTTTAGAATTTTTCCATATTTCTCCAAACTATATGACAGACACCAAAGGTGCCAGGGGCCATCTCCACATCACTGACGCAGAAGAACCTAGAGCCCCCCGTCCCAAGTGTGAAGCACGGGGGACTCTGAGGCTGACAGTGTTATGCAACTGTGTGTCAGAACAAACAAGCATGCATCGGAGGTGCCATTATGCTCTCTCTTCTTACTTGACATGTATTTGTTGTTCATGAAAAGCTGTTTTTACTACCAGTGATGCAACAGCCAACCAATAGCATTTGAATTGAAAAACTTAAGGATTTTTGTTCAAGTAATAGTGACCTTAAGGGTGGTGCCTGTGGCCTGTGGCTCAGTGAATAGGGTGCTGGCCCCGTATACCAAGGCTGGTGGGTTCGAAACTGGCCGCAACCAAACTGCAACAAAAAAAATAGCTGGGCGTTGTGGTGGGCAACTGTAGTCCCAGCTGCTCAGGAGGCTGAGGCAAGAGAATGGCCTCAGCCCAAGAGCTGGAGGTTGCTGTGAACTGGGTTGCCATGGCACTCTACCGAGGGTAACAAAGACTCTGTCTCTAAAATGAATAAATAAATAAATAAATAAATAAAAAGTGACCTTAAAAATTTTAGCATATTTAAACCCAAATAAACATCAAAAATAGCTACTCCACATATACTCATTCTTAACATGAGGAATTCAAATTTTACCCTCCAAATTCTATTGGCTTACCAGATTCTGTTGCATTAATGTGGAATTTTGGTTCTGAATTATTATTATAACAAGCTAGTATGCATAACGTCTTTGGTAGTGAGCAATACTCATTTGCAACCACCTTGAACCTTAGGAACAGCCTTGTGAATATTCCCGTATTTCCCCCAATACCAACATTACAGATGCAAAAATTCTATGTCAACCTCCCAGGAAGAGAACATGTGATTTAGAGTCTGCCTAGTTTCTAAACCCATATGAGATTTCTGCATGGACAGGAGTTTACTTGGGAACAGACAGATGCCCTGGACATTCATGGTTCCAGAGTCAAGGCCAGCGGAGAGGTCATTGCACTGGACCTGAGTTTCTCATTACATCAGAGGCAGCAGCTCCTGTGGTGACCTGTTTTATTGTTTGGTGTAAGATGTCCGTGGCTCCTAGAAGAGTTAGCATCTCTGTTTCTTCGACTTTCCCAAGAATTCTATAAGCTTCTCTCTTAATAATGTCCTTGTGCTGTATCTGCTAACACGAATTATGTTGTCTGCAGCAGGGCCCAGCCAACACCTGATGTGAGAATTCTCTTTGAACATTTGCACAAAACAACCAAAGCCAGTTCCTTAACAGTACTGGCTCCTGCTGGTCCTGTTATTTAACATGATATGCTAGTGCCTCTTACGTTTCAGTGTGCTCACACACATGTCCTTATGGAATATTCTTTTTTACACCTGTTTCACATTAACTTGCTCTTTTCTTTATACTCATCCTATAAAATAAGGGTTTAAAATGTTTTTTGAATTCATGGAAAAATTTATACACAAGGCAAAATTCTTTTCTATTTGGTGGTAATGTGAGCTCCCTATTTTATGGAAATTGTTTCATACAGCACCTCCTATATTGAGCTAGTCCACATCAGGCCCATTTGGTGGGAAGATTTCCTGAGCATTTGCTACCTCAATCCAGAGAGTGGACAGGAGCTGAGTTTTCCTGAGACTTTGCATGTCAGAAAATACCTTTCTTTTTTCTTTACATATACTGACTATGAAAGAGTTTATAGGCTTGATAACTTTCACTCAGAATACTATAAACATTGTTTTATTTCTTTAAAAAATTAAATATTTTATTGAGAAAGTCATTATCTCCATTCGATAGTTGTTTTGAAATAAATTTTCAAATGACATGAAGACTATGTTAACCAGTTTGATAAAAATATTTCAGATTATATTTAGAACCAGCACACTGTACCCCATGACTGCATTAATGTACACAGCTATGATTTAATAAAAAAAAAAAATAGAAATAAATTTTTCTTCTGTTCTTCTAGAATTTTGCATACACATATATTAGGACCCAGAGGATCCTTCTCCTTGTCAGGCATATTTCTTCTCCATTTATTTCTTTGCTCCGAGCAGGAGAATCTCTTGAACTAATTCAATAATTTGGTTTTCTTCAGTTTACAACGTGTTGTTTACGTCAACAATCACGCCTTTTTTGTGTGTGTACATCTCATAACCCTCAAGATTGCCCATTTCTGCAATTTGCTTTCCGTTGCTGTTTCTCTGTGCTCTTTCCTCTTTCAAAATACAGGAATTTGAGGCCACTATTCTTGAATTCGTTTTCTCTCTCTCTTTTTCCTCCTCTCCATGGCAGTTCCATTTGGCAGGAATCCATTTTCTTTCCAGTTCACGGCTGGATCCTTTTGTTGTTTGTAAATGGGATAATTAGGTTTTCCTGTTCATGTATGGAACATGCCTCCCTCAAAACTCGTTATGACGTCAACATCTTACCCATTTGATGCAGGGGAAAAAGGACATTCCTGCTGGTGCAATTCTTTGGGAACTGTGGCCTCCGGGTACTGTGATCTTGCTCTTTGAAAAAATTGACACAATGATATTGGGTTCATTCTACAGAGAGCTGAGATGAGTTCTGTTGGAAATTTGTGTGGGCAAGTGTTCAATTTTTCATGATTATTCACTGTGAGAGAAATATTTACCTTTTATATTAGCTGTGTTACTTCAGTGGAAAATAACTTGAAGAATTGCTAGAGGAAAATACGTAAATGTTATCGCTTAGGATATAGTCTTGATCCTGTGGGCCTTAGGTTTATTTCTTTTAAATATCAGCATGGAGATGTTTATACTGACCCACCTCTTATATAATAGTAATAGTAAAAACAAACACAAAATAAAACAGCGTTGATTCATGTGTGTTGTTCAGGAGAAAAGAGTGCAAACAGGATCGGAGTTACAGGCTTTCTCCTGCGAGGGTGGACGTGGAGGCTGCACTCCCCAGGAGCAGTGCTCTGCCAGGTGGCTCCTGCCGGGACCGCAGCCTACCCTCACCACGGCCCACCCTCCAACACGCTCACCTCTCGGGACCGCAGCCTACCCTCACCACGGCCCACCCTCCAACACGCTCACCTCTCTGGCTACAAGAGCTGTCTGTCATGACCTGTACCTCTGAGGAGCCAGACAGGCCTGGCTCCCAGACTGCCCAGGGTCTCCCTGTTTTATACATGGAAAAAGCTCGTGGCTGCCTAGTCTGCCAAGTCCTGTATTGTTGAAGTGTCTGTGGGCCCTTCCCTCACTAATTGCTTCTGTGAGCCATCTATAAATATTCTCAACATGGTCTCCAGAATTTTTCCAGACCCCCCTCCGACAGCCTGTACCCATGTCACTTCTGTCTCTGCCACATACTTCTTGCTTCTTACCTGGGATCCATTCCTCAGCTTCTCCTCTCTGTTTAATCCTTCAAAAGATGTCGTGCTGTGACTTCTCCTGGGCGCCTCTCTGGCTCACTCGAGTCCTGGCATCCACCTGCTACCTCCATTTGCTACCACTTCAGGTCTAACCCAGATAAGAGAGAGACTTCAGAAAGCTGCTTCTAGACTGACCCCATCCAATTTGAGAAGGCAAACAAGAAGCCCCTCAGGCCAGTGCATGGACATGCACACCCCCTGCCCTCACCACACTGGCACCCACATGGCACTGTGTCTCATACGGGGTCTTGCCTCTCTCAAACTTATCACTGGTTAACTTAGAAGCTCCTAAGTTGGTTACTATCTTTATTACGCCATCATGTCCTATATCCCTTGGTTAGAATGTAAGCTCGTGGAAGGTCTTTTCTTGGCTGGTTGGCTTTATAAATTACAGACTACAGGTTTGGAGTTGTAGAGAGACTTAGGTTTAAGGGTACCCTAACCGCTGCCTTCTGCTCCACCACGTCAAGACTGGGGTCCCCTTGAGGCCCAATGTAAGTAATGCTGACCAGGGAGGACGGAGTGACCACTGGCAAAAATGCTTATGGAATGTCTCATAATCACAGAAGCAATTTTATGAGTGACTTTTTCTCTGCCTCCAACAGGACCACGCAAGAGGTGGTGCCATATCCACGGCCAACAAACAAACTGCTCACTGGGTGACTTCCTCCCGGGGAAGATGTGCCCCTCATCATCCTGGCCATTTACATTCTCCCACCAAAACATTTTGCCATGTGAGAAAAACAGTCTGCAGCTGTTTTTCAAATTCCATACTCATTTTTATGATTGATTCCAAAATTCATTCTTTCCCACATGAAAAGTAAAGCCCTCTAAGTCCAGGCTGCTCCACAAGCCAGGGATTTATGGCACGTGCTGGGGAGGCTCAGCTGGTCCAGCAGACAGTGCCAGTTTGTCCCTGAGGATGACGTTGTCTGTATGAGAGGCTGAATCTCCTCCCTCCCCCTGCTGGGGTTCACATTCTTAGAAACAGCCAGACTCCCAGATCCCTGCCTGCTGCTTCTTCCCCTCGCCCTACCCTTTAGGCTCCAATCAGAGCAGATTCAGGAGCGGATTTCAGCCTTTCTCCTGTGAGTGTTTTAAATGCAGAGGTTGTGCCCCCCCACCCCCCGGCCAGCCCCACCACGTGGCACCAGCAAGAGCCTGTGTGTCCTCCAAGGTCTCATCACCTAGCAGGACCCAGGGTCACCATGCACGGTGCTATGCAGCCGTAGGGTATGTGCCATGCTATTCTCTGGGCATGAGGGAACAAGCAAGGCTTTGAAGAAGAAAAAGGATTCCCAGGCAGACCTGGCTTGGACACACCCCACGGTGTGCTGCTGTGTGTTTCTCGACCTGCCCTCATCTGTGAAATGGGATAATAATACCTCCTCTAGTGGTTGTGAAGATGATATTTGTAAAGCACTTCACACTTACTTATCCCATGAAAGTCATCCATCTAATTACAATCACTCTGGATTGGGTCCCTGAAAAGTCACTGAGGATGGTCAAGGTTCATTCATTCACAGAGGCATTTCTTCTCTGACGCTCACCCTGTGAAGGTAACACAGTGATGAACGAGACGCATTCCCTGTCTTCAGTCTAAGGGACACGACAAATGAGATGAAAGCACACCTCCCCCAGGGGAACATGAAGGACTCTGTGTTAGGGAACGCCCCTTCCTTCAACACCATGGCTACCTAGAGTGGACAGCAGACGGTGTAGCCCTTCCACAGCCCATGTGCCACTCCTGGCTGAGGAAAACTCCACTTCCCAGGCCTGGCCTGGGCTGGGATTCGATGTCAGAGTTATGACAAGCAGAAATAAATTACAGCCCAAGCCTCAGCAGGCCTCTGTTCCCAAATCCGACTGTGAGCCTGGTTGAGGAGCACCCCTGTTTTCTGGCTCAATCCCACAGAACTGGGGAAGCTCCCAGGGACTGATATAAAGACCCCTCAGCTGGAGCCCCAGGGCCAGCTCAGCATGCCCAGCACAGAAGAATAAAGGAGCGGTTTGCATCACACATGCCTCCTGATGCTGCAAGCTTCAGCCAACTAAGCCCTAAACCGGATGGGGTTGGACCACTCCAGAGAATGCGGCTCTGCTGGTGTGCTGGCTGCCACGGCAGGCATCTTACACACTGTCCCGCTCTGTCTTTAGAGTTATGATCAAGGAACAGCTTTTTCCTCCTTCTTTAGCAACTTCACAAACTACAAAGAGAAAACAAATTGTCACAATAAAAAATAGCTTAAATTCAATCCAAACATCAGTGAAACATTGAAACATCAATGGAACATGCTCCGTACTGGAGAAGATGAGACAAGTCAGACCATCCTCTCCCTCAGAAATCTCACTCTGGGGAAGTGTGGGGACAGAAAAAAAAGCCAAGACTCTGGGTAGAAGCCCAAGGAGCCTCATCAAGGCAGCTCCCACAGGGTGACTGAGCCAGGCTCTGAAGCAGTTGCCCCCAGTAAGGGAGAGACAGGCTTATGGTGAGGATGAGGCCCCTGCAAGGATCTGCACAAGTAGGAACAGTTCATTGGCTCTTGAAACCTGCCTGTGCCCAGGGGCAGCAAGGGGAGTGGGCAGGGAGGGGTACAGGGGAGCGGCTGCATGGGGGAAAGGGGAGGCAGAGCCCTACCAGGTGGGGCTCCACCCCCCTCACAGCTGTGGGAGAGCCTTGGCCTGAGAAATGGCACTGAGCCACCTGACACAAGGAACGTGACTGCAGGAACGATAGGAGAGTCCTCCGAGAACACTTTCAAGCACCAAAGTTTATCTCCCTGTGAGCACACCAGGAGGCAGGGGCGCAGCCTGGGCAGAGGGCGTCTCTCACTGTGTTCTCTTCAGAGCAGTAGTCCGCATCCACCTCCTGCCTGCTGGGGACGCAGCTGCCCAGGTGAGCACTCATCCTGCCAGCCCCATGGTCCTCAGGGCTCAGGTTTACCCTCTAGGCTTAGAGGCTGACTTACCCCACCACCCACCAGTTGGAGACATCATTTGGGCCAACTGCCATCCCTGGAGAAGCCTATCCCCTCCAGAATCAAACTCCCACTGGACACAGGCCAGGTGAGGACCATCACTTTCCATGAGGGGACTTGGTGGAAGAAGCCTTTGCTTAAGTCTGCTCACTCTCATATTTCAAACTCTTGGGCTCATGGCCCAACTTATGCCTTTTCCCCCTGCCTTATCCTCACTCTTAGCCTCTGAGACCATAGCTCCCAGAATGAAAGCCAACCTTTGTGGGGCCACAAGCTGGCTAGAATGGCTCAGGGGTTAGAATGTGGCAAGCACACATGCACCCATAACAGCCCAACAGAAGGCAAGTAATGTGGCACTCACCTGTGTGTGTGGCCCTCACCTGTGCAGTCTGTGGCTCTCTCTAAGGCTACAGAAGTCTTGATTTTAGAGTATAGAGTGGCTCCGTAAGTGCTGTCTGCTTTGGGTCTTCCAGGCCGAATGTGGTGGAGTCCAGCTGAGCAGAAGGAGGGGCTTTGGGATAAGACAGAGGTAGCACCACCACATGGGACACTGTGTCCTGTGACACATGTGCAGTGTGTCATGTGCAGTGACAACAGGTCAGAATGGCTCTGATATGTAGAGATAGCTGCTGGGGTGTGGTGCTATGACTGCCATCTGCCCTAGCTCTCTGTCCTATGTTGGAGAGACAAAGCCATCAATGTTTGCTCACTGTTGAATCTCTTAAGAGGACGGTGAATGGAAGTCAAAGAAAGCCCCACACCCTGACCTGTTACTCTCAAGCCCTCAGTAAAACTGTGGAAGCTACGGGACTATTTCCACCAGGGTAGGACAAGCAGGCGTGACTGCAGCCCCTGTGACATATCAGAGTCTCACTTGATCACAGCTGAAGATCATGAGAAGCTTAAGATACAGGAGGTCTTGGGCACAAGTACCCTGTGAAGTTGTTATTTGGGTGCTGAGGAAAGAAGCCTCAAACGTTAATGAAATATTTGTTGAACTCTGTGTACTCAGAAATGGCAAAAACATCACAGGAGCCAGAAGCAGCCCAGAGCAACTACAG